CGCTTTCCCCGGCGCAGCCGCCCATTGGGGCAGGGAGTCGCGAGGCAGGCCTCTCCCCTGGCCGTGCTCCCTAGGCTGGCGCAGGTTCTCTCGCGCTGAGGCAAGCAGAGGACCGACGCAAACCCGCTCGCCCGGTCTGCTCTTCCCAGGACGGGGCTTTGGGCTTGCGGAGCAAGTGTGGGCGTGGGTGAGAGGAGGAGGGCTGAGCCCGGGTTGGTGCAGACTGTGGGAGATCCGGGTTTAAATTCGTCCTTGTGGAGACCGGGAGGGTATCTGCCTAATGTCCCTTACACGGATGCAGGAATAAAGAGGGGGGCGGGGGAGGAGACGTTTCAGAGTACTTCTGATCCCGAAGAGTAGAGACTTTAATCATTAAACGTTAATGGAAGGATTAGGCTAGCAAAAGAGAACACGAAAAGAGGAACTGCAACCAGCTGGAGGCACAAACATGCTGATTTCGCCTCCCCTCTAAGTGTTATCCATCGGTCCTTCAGCTGACAAAACTACCAGGGTGAAGTGGGCTGCCCCACTGCCAAACCCAGTCCTGCCATGGACTGACCCTCCCAAGTGGTGGTGTCTTTATTATGGTGTTCATGATAGAGAATGGGATCGGGGTTTTCCCCTGCCTTTATTTCCCCTTCTTTCTGCCAAAAGCCACCAGCTGCAGGAAAATATCCCCATCCAGCTCATTAATAGGGGCTGGAGAAAGGGCAAGCTTTGAAAGATTGGAAAGCTGGGGTCTTTGGCCATCAAGACTTACTCTGGCTTTGTGCAGGTATTTTTAAGCAGAAGCACTTTTAATGAGAAGTTGGGCCATTTGGGAACCTGTTGTGGTCTTCCCATAGGAACTGAATGTGGATTTGGTGCTCTTGCAGAAAACGAAATCCCTGTTTAAAAGCAGGCCACATAACTGCGGAGTGCTGTGTGATGTAAAGGTGTTGAAGATTCTCAGTCATCCAGGTGGAATTATCTGGACTTCTTTGTGATTCTTTCTTCTGTGTGATGTAAACATAGCCCTGGTCTGTCACACCTCGAACCAAATGCATCATTTCTAGGATTGCATGGCAATTGCAAAAGGCCACCACTACTTTAATGATTTTTACACAAGAACTACATTTGTGACACTTTCTGCTCTAAAGCATCTTTTTGCCTTTGTATCCAAAGGGCTGTAGAGCCGTATTATTTAAACTAAATTTGCCTTTAAATGCCTATACTCCCAATTTGGTGTCATCCTTTAGGTGGTTTTAGATATTTCTTCGTTAAACCTGTTCAAAAAAATGCTTTGATCCCAGAGCAGGTCCTTCAACTCACTATTTTGTTCAGTTGTGATAACTGGCTATATATTTCTATCCTACCTTCTGTTTTGTAGCCAGTTACCCAAATAACTTCTTCCCTTATTACACGATAGTTAAGTCTGCTTAGAATTTTTATTTATTTATTTTGTGAGGGACTTCTGATAAAAGCCTTTTAAAAGTCCAAACAGACGAAGTTTACTGGACAACTGCTTCCATTTGGGGAGTGAGTGGCTGGAATACATGCCAAATACCACACTTGCCCAAATATTGGCTTCACTTTTTTTTAATGGAATGGACAATGGAGTGTAATGGTGTACAACAGATGCTCTACTGTCCCCACAAGCCAGTTCATCCTGTAGCTTCCCCTTGCTCTAGAGCAGTGGTTCTGGGATCCCTGGAGGTTCTGCAAAGTCAAATAAATATTTTAATATGTTTCAGTTTTAATTTCTAATACAGTGCATATCAATAGATAAGACCCTCATAAACCAAAGCTCTTTGATTCCTCAGTCATTTTTAGGAATGCAAAAGTCTCCTTAGACCAAGATGTTTGAGAACTGCTGCAAAACCTGCAATATATTGCA